TCGTTCGTAGCTAGGGACGTTCGTAAGTAGAGGTTCCACTGTACCTGCTTAAGAATTTTTTTTAATTTAAACAATAAATTCTGAGTTATAGTATTATGTAATGCTATGCTATAAGCCAGTGGTGGTGAATCTTTTTGGGCCTGAGTGCCCAGACTGGAAAAAAAACCCACAACCCAGCAGGTGGTGGGTGGCGGCGGAACCAGAGGTGGCGGTGGAAGTTGGAATCCCAGGCACTGAAGTGCCTCGAGACCTGACTCCGGATCTGCTGCCAGCGCCAGCTGCTCTGGATCCTGGCCCACAGCCTGTCGAAGCACCAGTGTTGCAGTTGCCTCCTAAGTTTGGGGGGGGGGAGTAGCGATCCAGCGACTTATGGCTCGCGTGCCTGCAGAAAGGGCTCTGCATGCCAGCTGTGGCACACGTGCCATAGGTTCACCATCGCTGCTATAAGCAATAAAACGGTAAGTCAACATTAAAAACAAATAAGCAATGAAGAGTGCACAAGTACCTTCTTGAGAGCCAATGTGTTGTATTTTATAGTGTAAATGACTAGGATTCAGGAGACCTTGGTTCACATTGCCTGTTTGTCATGGAAAGTCCCTGGGGAGAGTTGTGGCAGTGGTTAATATCTTAAATATCTCAAATAAAACCCTGTTACGGTCACTATAGCTCAGAAGCAATTTGATAGAACATAGCATGCAGACATCTTTGCAGTGAGCAAGAGTTTCATAGTACAAAAGTAAGCAGGTAATTAAAATGTAGTCTTTAAGGTACCACAATATTTTTGTCCTCTTTATTTTGTTGTTGGTTTTGCCTAATAATCAAAATTGATTCTATGCAGTTGATCACTAAAATTAACATACATTGCAAAATTTCTTTTCGAATGTTCTTTAGGAATACATTTCCATGCAATCCAGAAAACCCATACAGACATTGTCAATTTGTGTGTTTTCATTGGTGCATAATAAGAATTGCCACGTTGCTTTTCAGTTTTGAACTTGCGTAATTTGTTTTTCAATGTTACCCTAACCTGGTAGGTACATCTGGCAAATGTGTTCTGGGAAAAGGTTGGTTATTAGAAACCAATTAACATAGGAATTGCTTATATTAAGTAGGTAGGATTAGAATGAGATATTCTTGTCCGTTCATAATTTTTCTCTCGGGTCTGAAAAGCATATGACTTTCTTGAGCTTTTCACAATACATGATAAATTACATCACTTCTGGTCATTACTGTACTCCCAGTGCAATACTTCAGAACATAAGGATACTCGGTGTCCCCTGTGCAACTGGACACGTCTCACAGGGATTGCATCATGAAAAAGACATACATAACCTCGTAGAGAAACTGGGTGGCAACAGTATCTAGAAATGCCGTGTAAAATTTGAAAATATTGTACTTGGACTTTTTGTTATTATTTTTAAATATAATATTATTTTTATCAACCTTTCTCTGTTTGGAGATAAGAGAAGAGACTGATTTTGGTGCCTTTTTTCTAGCTCCCATGCCAACTGGGAGAAAATAGGAAAAACAATTTAGAAAATGTTTGAAACAATGAATTGATAGGGGAAATATTAAACACTGGCCTTTGCCCATGGGACTTGTTTGCAAATGCTCCTCACTGGACTCTGGGGACGATGCAAAGCACCCCCTCTGCCTTGTATTTATCCTGATTTACTGCAATAACTTCTGACATGAATTAGAGATTTGTCAATGATGGGAAGAAACTGGGATATGTAATTTTTAAAAGAGGCTGTAAAATTGACCCCTCTGGGTTTTTTTTTTCTTGCAGAGTCTGGAAATAAAAGAAATATATTTGAAAAATAGAGAGGGATCCTGTTCTACTGCTGTTAATTCTGACTTCTTGTTGTTTAGTTATTAAGTCGTGTCCGACTTTGTGACCCCATGACCCAGAGCATTCCAGGCCCCCCTGTCTTCCACTGCCTTCTGGAGTTTGGTCAAATTCATGTTGGTAGCTTCGATGACACTGTCCATCCATCTTGTCCTCTGTCGTCCCCTTCTCCTCTTGCCTTCACACTTTCCCAAAATAAGGGTCTTTTCCAGGGAGTCTTCTTTTCTCATGAGATGGCCAAAGTATTGAAGCCGCAGCTTCAGGATCTGTCCTTCCAGTGAGCACTCAGGGTTGATTTCCTTCAAAATGGATAGGTTTGCAGTGCAGGGGACTCTCAAGAATCTCCTCCAGCACCACAATTCAAAAGCATCAACTCTTCAGCGGTCAGCCTTCTTTATGGTTCAGCTCTCACTTCCATACAACACTGCTGGAAAAACCATAGCTTTGACTATGTGGATCTTTGTCGGCAAGGTGATATCTCTGCTTTTTAAGATGTTATCTAAGTTTGTCATCACTTTCCTCCCCAGAAGCAGGCATCTTTTAATATCATGGCTGCTGTCACCATCTGCAGTGACCATGGAGCCCAAGAAAGTAAAATGTGTCACCGCTTCCATATCTTCCCCTTCTATTTGCCAGGAGGTGATGGGGCCAGTGGCCATGATCTTAATTTTTTTGACGTTGAGCTTTAGACAATTTTTGCGCTCTTCTCTTTCACCCTCATTAAGAGGTTCTTTAATTCCTCCTCACTTTCTCCCATCAGAGTGATATCATCTGCATATTTGAGGTTGTTGATATTTCTTCCGACAATCCTAATTTTGGTTTGGGATTTCAGTCAGCTTTTCGCATGATGTATTCTGCATAGAAGTTAAATAAGCAGGGAGACAATATACAGCCTTGTCGTACTCCTTTCCCAATTTTGAACCAATAAGTTGTTCCATATCCAGTTCTTTCTGTTGCTTCCTGTCCCACATATAGATTTCTCAGGAGATAGATAAGGTGGTGAGGCACTCCCATTTCTTTAAGCACTTGCCATAGTTTGCTGTGGTCCACACAGTCAAAGGCTTTTGCAGAGTCAATGAAGAAGTAGATGTTTTTCTTGAACTCTGTTTTTTTCCATGTTAGCAATTTGGTCTCTAGTTCCTCTGCCCCCTTGAAATCCAGCTTGTACTTCTGGGAGTTCTCGGTCCACATACAGCTGAAGCCTACCTTGTAAGATTTTGAGCATAACCTTGCTAGGGTGTGAAATGAGTGCAATTGTATGGTAGTTGGAGAATTCTTTGGCACTGCCCTTCTTTGGGATTGGGATGTAGACTGATCTTTTCCAGTCCTCTGGCTACTTCTGAGTTTCCCAAACTTGCTGGCATATTGAGTGTAGCACCTCAACAGCATCATCTTTTAAGATTTTAAATAGTTCAACTGGAATGCCATCACCTCCACTGGACTTGTTGTTAGCCATGCT